CAAAGTATATGCATAACAACCAAACTACGCCAGTTTCGTAATGTCCATAAGAATAACATATACATTTTTAATTTGAACTTGTTGTAATATTCTCCGTGACTAATACCATACAAAAATACTTCATTATACTCAATTACTTGTTTGTGTAAACTCTGAATTTATTTATTTAAGATAATTGTTTTAAGTTGTTGTTAAAGGTAAGTTTTCTATAAAAAGGTAGAGTTTAAGTGGAAAAAACAATGATAGCAGATCTTGACAAGAAATAAGGAAAACCAAAGTGTAAAATGGATAAGCACTGACCAAGGGACACAAGTACATTGTTATCAAGAACAGGGGTTTCTCAATGAGCTGCAGACAAGCCAAATTTTCCTGGCTTTTGTAGCAAGTTGTTTAAAAAAAATTGTTGTAAGATTGTATGATTTTTAAAGAAATAAAATAAATCCCTTAAACTGGTGACAAGTTGAAGGGGAGATACAACTAGCCGTAGGTACAACTAGACGTAGGTACAAGTAGGCGTAGGTACAACTAGTCGTAGGTACAAGTAGTCGTAGGTACAAGTAGTCGTAGGTACAAGTAGTCGTAGGTACAAGTTATAGGTACAAGTAGACGCAGACGTATGAGGTACAAGTAGACGGTGGCGTACCCGACTAGTTGTACCTGTAGATTTTTAAGAGGTACAACTAGACGTAGAGACAGCTAGACGTAGGTACAACTAGACGTCCGCACCATCGTCAAGTTGTACCTAGAGCTTTGGACGAGGTACAACTAGACGCCTGTCACCAAAATGCAGCAGGTACAACTAGACGCCGGTACAAGTAGTAGACATCGCCCCGTTGAACTGTAACCGTTTGTATTTCCCACTACCAGTTAATAATATTTGTATAAACGATTGCTATTGGACGATCGGGTCACGCCACTTCCCCGACCCATGAGTCCATGTTAACCGCCACCTCCACACCTCAGTTATAGCCATCGATGTATATAAAGGTTATATACATCGATGGTTATACCATTGACTAAGGAAATAAAAGTTCCCCTTGTTTCCCTTGTCGTTAGCAGTTTTACAGTGTTAAACAGTAGTTCTTATTAACTTCCCGATTCCCGTAGTGTAATACATCAGGGTGACGTAGTGACATTAATGGTAACGGTGCATAAGGGTATCACCATGTCAACGAAGATACTTCACGACCTATGCGAAGCATTCGCACTGAATCCTTCTCAAATCCCACTTAACTGATATACACAACATACAGTTAATACTTCGTAGTAAGTGCATCGTTCATTTAAGTAAGGGTCCTTACTTCAGGAATAGATGTGGATTTACATTTTATATGATTAACATTTTCAAAATGTAATGTTAAGTTATTTACGTTTTTTTTTTGTAGGACCCCTTTGAACACTGTATTTGAACTATTAACATGGCCATATACGATTTTTTGTGTTGATGGCTTTGTTTTTACACAGACAAAGTTTTTAATTAAAAAACGCACCCTCGACAAAGCCACAAACAACTGAATGTGTAAAAAGAAACGGGGTCTTTCGCGTACAATCCTTCCTTCGTTAGCATTTGTTCATTTTCCTTATTTAACGTCAAGGCAAATGTAGGTTTTACTGGAAATTCCTAGTCAGTTTGAAAGGATTACGCACTATTGCGTAGTATGACAGTTTGACCGGAGTCAACCAACTTGGCTTTGATAGTGTATGTGCCAGAGAGAGCTACAACTTATCTTGGACCCTGATTACGTTTCTCGTCAACATGATATTAGAGTTCGTTTTAGCATGGATTATTGTGTGACGAACCTAAAGGGCTTAATAAGTTCAAAGACTCTAAAGGACACAACAGAGCGTTCTACGTGTCTTGGTAAATAACCTAATAAAAACTTAGATAAACAGCTTCCTGTCGGTAAAATATTCGACACGACGTAAAACCATTCATTGAAACCTGTAATAAAGAGGTGATGTTTGAAAATTAAGGCTATGTCGTAAATAAAGAAATTTTAAAGCTAAATCATCCATTCTGTACTTACTTTTGAGTTGTACTTGTCTATTCTTTTTGAAAGTGAATAATCTGATTTCATCTCCGGGGTTATTTATCGTAGAAAGCACATACTAAGTATGTTGGTCGTCATAGATGAAGTAAAAACAAATCAATCGGATTTGAGAAGTAAATATTCGTTTGTTTTGATTAATTTAATGTACATGTTTTAGCTGATCGAATAATGTAAATGAAGATTCATGTCTAAATTACTTGCAGGATGATATAATATCCATTAACTTTTTTCCTAACTCTCAGATCTCTATTAGTTGTGCAAACCCACATACTTCCGTTTACCTAACAGCGTCTCACAATTCCTATCAAAGTATATGTTACACGGATCCCCCACTAACATAAATACCTAATATTATTATTAAGTCAACACAATATATAAAACCCCTCCAAAAATACTTAGATTTGTATTTTCATCCACCAATCATTTTCACAAAAGTAAAAATTGTTTGACGGTTTCAGCTTATTTCCAAAGTTGAAATTCCCACCGCATTCCACGCTATGATACAATTTAGTTTAGAGTGTTCTAAGAAAGTCGGGCCTAACCATGTTTGGAACTTCCAAAGAGGAGTTTTGCACTTTACAATCCTAGTTTGTTGGGCGGCGCCTGCGAGTACTATTGACTCGAGCACGTTCGGGACAAAAATACCAAAGCCCGGGAAATACCGACCTGGTCCTCAACTCAAGTTAAACAATTTTACAAAAGGTGTCTTGTTTGAAGAGAAATTGGGAAGATTTGATTTTGAAATTTGAACACCATGTGTGATGTAACTAACAAGATTCGTACAATTTTCTTTGCAATTTACACTTTAATTTTGTGCGTTTTAATAGTATTATTTTTATTATTTTGTACGGAACGGTCCACACCCTGCCAAACATTTCTCAGATATCGTCACTAATTAGTAGCACAATTACAGATGACATCTAGGTTTAGAATTGACTTTTGCTTGGGATCGAACCTTGCAACCTTCAAATTTAAGGTAATCACTATAACCACTAGATTACCTAGACATGAATGAATTTAAATGGTTAATGTATTTAAATATGCTACTGTGTACAAGTTTTTAGATAAATAAAAAACCTCTGGATAATATCAGCAATATTAACCGAAATACAACATAACTAAAATACTTTGAAGTCATTGTGAATTTTCGATAAACTATTGATACAAACCGTGAACTACGTAATGTGTTAATTCAAAACTGCGAATGATGAAAACACAGTATATTATGTTTGTATAAATTGTTTTAATAGCCCTGGGTATCTTTTTAGCTAACGCATAATTTAAAAAGTGTTTGATGTCAATATTTTCTTTACATATAATAGACAAAGTATTTAATGCTTATTATAATATAACTATTGATAAAGCAATACATTTTGTTATAAACATAGAGTCTGTAATCACTTATTTTGATCAACTAAGTGAACAGACACTTCTTTTTACAAATAAGTAGAATGCTCGATAGTAATTAAATGTCAATCGTTAGTTTTACATAAAATAATTTGACCTGTAAGTTAGTCAGATCCAGTAAAACATATCTTTTTTTGTATTCAAACTGCATATTAGAAATCTTACTTTGAAACTATCTCTACTTTTCCTTACTTATATAACTGCATTAAACTACTGTTTAATCGTAGGTTTTCCATAACTTATATTATTCCACATCTACCTTAAGAGACACACGATTTATAAAGTTAGATATAATTTTTGCTATAAATTGTATCCACCATAAATTAAAGGAGTTAAATCTATGTTGACTATAACATATAATTTCATGTAATCATATACAGGGTGTCCTGTAACTCTCTGGACACACGTATACAGTATAGCATTATTGCTTAGGTTAAGACAAACACATTTCACCATAGGAACATGGGTCTGTGGTGCCCATCGATGTATCGATGGTGGTGCCTAGTTTACCGTTTGTCCGTATGTGTTTTTTACAAAATAATTAATAACTCCTAAACGGTTTGAGATACAGTGTTGAGATTTTTCAAAATTGTTTATCTTATTAAGACTCATTTATTTTTAAACTAAAATCATAAACCGTTTCAAAACGGCGGCCATTTAAAATATGTGATGCCAAATTTCACGAAAACCGTAGATTTACAAAAAACATTTCAAGAGACAAAAAAGTTAGTAAATTTTATGCAGTTTTCAATAATTATACCTTATTTGTTAAGAATTGATAAATAACAACAGAGAAATGAGTTCTTTTCGTAATGCATGACCACTTTTCTCTATATACATGTGTCCAGAGAGTTACGGGACGGCCTTTATATTAAAACGTAACAGTGTTTTTTTATTTCACGATTCTGAATCAACCACTTGACAGATTTTCATGATTTTTGTGTTGAAAGAACGATAAATGACAATTCAACAACTGCATTGTAAGTTTATAAACTTCAGGCATAAACTTCATTTAATTTTGGATTATGAGTTTAAATGTCATAAATAAACAGGTATCTCTCTATTTTTTTTACTCTTTTAAAAGTTCAAAATAATACAAAATCTTATATTACTTGATGATTTTGTTTATACATTTTTTTAATATTACTGTTTTTTTTTATTCCCACATTCGAAACAGATCTATTTAATCTTACTTTAACATTTTAAAATAAAATCCATTAATTATTTCTTAACAATATTTGCAGTTTAGATTACTAGATTATTATTTTTGTGTTTGTATACAACACTCATCATAAACTAATACCTCACCTCGTTCTAGAAAAATTGCATTTCCATAATACCCTCCATTACCAAGACTTTTATTGACCAATCAAAGTTCAAATACTTGAAGATTACGAATCAAAATCAGACTAATTTTACATCACCTCCTCAAACATTAGCGACATTGTCAATTTCCATAATACCCTCTACCCCTTCATTACCGTGACTTCCTGATCGACAGACCTCTGTCTCCCCTATATCAGCCGGGGACTCCGCCCCGCTGGCCACACGTCGGGTAGGGGGGGCCAGTGTGGCGGAGCCCTGCAGTACCGTGCCAGACGTGGTGGTCTAGTACCGTGCGTGCAGTCGTGTAGCCGTGCAGTGCCAGTGACATGTTAACATTCTAACCTTTTGACACCATGTTCTCCACTATGGAACCCCACTTTGGCCAACCCCTTGGAGGATTTAGTTTCCAGAAGTGAAAGTAAGTATTTTTTTTATTTGTTAATTTTTGTGCGGAGTTTATGTTATTTAAAGTGTTGTTGTGTTCATAATTTTTTATGTGTTTATTGGCACCAACATTTTTCTTTTTTTTTAAGTGAACTATAAAAACATTTACCATGTTACCACCTAAGCCATTTTTCTAGATAAGATAACTGATTATAATAACTCTAACAAAAATGAAGTATCCAAAATTAAATGTAAACATTTAACTTATTTGTTTGTTATTTAATGAATGAGTTTATGGACAATATTTGTAGGGATTTAACCCTTGGGATACTTTAAATGCAAACACATTTTATGGAATATTTATAAAAGGAAATGGTGACAGCTTTTAGACGTAATGCCGTCAATCTAAATTTTTATTCTTGAAATTCAATTTTCCTTTCTTTGGAGACAATGTTTTTCATAAATTTGTCTTTAAAGAATCGTTATAGTTATTATTTTAGTTTTTGCGGCGTTTTGGGATTCCCGACCATAGGCGAGAAAGCGTTTAAAACAATAACACGCGAAACATGGGAAACACCGTGTAACATTTTTGTGGATAACGAGTTTATAACTTCAGTAATTGTTGTGGACTTTTTTGAGTCACGATAAGTGTTTTCAAAATGGTTCTGGTTCTGGAATAGCCTAATGTTACGAATCGTGGGTTATATGTAAACAAATTTAACGTTATCTATAAGAAGTATACAATATAATATCGTAAATATAAGTTTCGGATATGTAATGTTAATCGAAACATTAATATTGAAATTAAGTTGAAATGGAAATAGACGTTTTGGCTGATTTGTTGGAGAACAGTCTTTTAAAGTAAAAGTTTTTTAATATGGTATAATGATTGTATACTAAACAATCTGCTGATAGACAACTAAATAGATTGTTTGATATTTTTTTATTATATTCATCCCAATAGACACTTTTTAATAATAAAAAAGATTCCGCCATATATTTTGAAACAGTAGTTTCAATGACCTAAGTTAACCATAGGGAATTTCTTTGTGTCCAGCCAAATTCATTCATACTTCAATGCAAGGTTTCAGGTTGTATCACTTTGTACTGAGCAATTTGTGTGATTACCGAACAACATAATATGTATCGTGATTGGAGAGAATATATCCAAACAAAATTAATATGATTGGTGTAAACTGAATAATTTTATTTCATTAATTTCAAACAATCTTCATTCATTTAGCACATATTTACAGTACATTGAACAGTGTCGATAAGTGATTCTTTATTAAAACTTACGTATGTTTATAAATGGATTTTAGTAATTCGTTTCAAGTTTTAATTGGATCATTTGCAGCAAAACTTGAGTCTCATATTTGTTTGTAACGTGCATAATTATTTGAAGTGTATATTCCAAGAAAGAGTAGGTAAAGAGATTAATTTGTCATGTACTGTTTCATAAGTTTATCTATTCAATTACATTGTTTTAATATAACTTTTTTTGTTTATGTTGTTCTTCATACAATTTTCAATGTTTTCCAAACGCTTTTTATTCACTTTACCCATTCATTTTTTTGGAAGTAGAAAATAAAATTTTAAAAAAGTGTATCTACCTACAATGCAAACGCGCTCATAATATGATGACGAACAGTAAACCCGGTATTCTCATACATTTTTGAGTCATTGGAGAAAATTTGAATTAATATAGACAATTGTTTTTCAACTACATAAGAAAATATGAGTTATTAGTTTTTTGATAACATTTATATTCTTCAATACTTATCTGTAAATATGAATTTAAAATGCATGTTCATTTACATTTTTTTAGCCCAATAAGAAAACTTTTTAGCATTAATAGTTATTAATTCAAAATACTACTTATACAAACTTTTATGTTTACAATATTAATGTCCACACTATCTACTATTATACCCTTATTCTTATACTTTTAATCGGGCATAGTTTACGTAAATGGCAAAGTTTGGTGTCTTAATTTCTTATTTGTTTGGCAAAGGCTATTTCTTTATTTGTATAAATCTGTTTTTATAAAAAAAAAAAAATCGTGGTCCATTTCGCAGTAAAATAGAATCCATGTCAAATTGAATATTGAGTAATGGTTTTTAATTCATGGACATTCCTAAAATTTAAAATCTAAAGCCTTATATTGAAAGATAAAAAGTGTTGATTCGAGTTGAACATTTGACTTGAACTTACTGAATATTAAATTCTGCATTTCAAATATATTTCGACGGTGTTGTGCACATTTGTTTAAACAAATCCACACAACACCGTTAAAGTCATTCAATTTTTAACTCCTTCGTTTTAACATAGTTTTTTTAACACTTTTTAGTAAACGTTCTGATTGTTTAACCACGTAGGCTAGTTTTTTTTAATTTTTTTCCTCCGAAATTTAAAGTTTTTGACACTATTGAGCACTACGGCAATCTAAAATTGTAAGTCTTATCATAACTTATCGTCTAAGCAGTAAATGCTTATCATAAAGGTAATTTTACATTGACAGATAGGGCAAAACATACAGACCTACTTTTGCGGTTCCCATTGAAATATAGTAAAACAAATTTCCATGAAGGTATCCTATTGTTTATGGCAATATAAGCTTGAGTCGCTAAAATATTTTCATGAGTGTATAATGTAATTTCGTTCTTAAATATATCTTTCCTTATAATTATTTCTTCTACATATGCAGAATATATCTATTCTTTTTTTCTTCATAGCAATCAATTGTTTGGGTTTAGAAAACTTTTTGTTATATCTTTTTATTTGATTTGATTTTACATTTAAAGTAGTGTTCTCTGAGTAACAACTTTAAGTTTTAGCACGCATACTTTAGTTCTTTAAATTATAGACAACTTACTTGTTTATTACTTGTTACAGTATTTATTAATTTAAAATTGGCTTTACCAAAAACTATATTTATTGTCATAAATATTAAAAAATATAACGTCTTAAGTTATTATCTTTATTTTTAATCAAAACTAAGCATTGTTATTAAGCATTGCTTGTTATGTTATTGCTGATTAATTAGTTGTTGTTGACAGCTGTCATTGAACGATGACATGTTTTGTTTATATCACCCTGTAATGTCGATCGGCACAGCATTGATATGGTGTTAAATTTACACATGTTGATATTATAGTATAGCTTTAGCCTCATAACACGTTTTGATAAAAAAAAGTTTTTCGGCTATACACTTTGCTTGAATTTGAGCATTATTCTATTTTCTAAGAATGCATTTTCCGTCACACCAAAAAGACAATAATGAATAAACTCTTTAATATTGTGGAAATCCCTAATTGCATTATAGTTTAAACAGAATAAGCAATCTTATAATGCTATACATGACGACTAAACATGACGTTGTTCATTGTTTCATTTTTATATAATAAGTTTTAAGAACTACTTATTACAATTGAAAGATTTATACAGTACTAAAGTAATTTAAACCGACACCGTAAAATGATAAGAATACTTTTTTTTCTCAAATACTCAATATTAACGCTCTTTAAAATTAATTTAATACAATAAGTATTTAATACAGATTTTCGCCAAATTTGATATTTAGCTCAGTTAGCGTCAACTATATATTTAAATATTATATTATATATTATATTATAATATAAATATTAAATATTATATTATTATGCGTCTTATATATCTCTTTTATAGATATAATCTTTTATATTTCACCTTTCAAAGTGCGCTGTATCATTCGCTTACTACCCAGACGAATGGAAAGATACTTGTATAGATTATTTAGTTTAAAAAATAATTTTGAATTCTGACTTCTTGATCAGTATAGCGCTTGTCAATAAGCACGTGTTGCTTCTATACGCTATTTTCAATCATCTTCTATAAGCAAAATGACTTCTCATGATATTATCAATTTTGTTTTATCTTTTTGTGCAGTTAACGTTGGTAAAGGTTGGAATGGTGGTTGTTAATTAAATGCGTCTCCTTTATTTTAGAGTATAATTTACGATTTTTACACAGTTTGTAAGACATCCAAATAATAATCAATTATTTTATAGTTATATCCCTTTGTTTGATTAAACTAGGTTAAAAAAAAGAATTAAACCGTAAACAAAAACCGCACACTATATTAAATGGACAGTTCCTTCAGCTGATTCTAAGTATGACACATCTATTACGAAGTATATTTATTTCGATGCAACAACTTAAATGGAAATAGATAGTGCAGTCTATCCATAGCCCAAGAAAGTCTATGGATATTTCCAATTTATCAATGAGCATGTTAAGGAGACACCCCCGTCTCCATGGAGACGACGGAGCGATGGAGCGACGGAGGCGGAAGGAGCGTAGACACAGACGAAGGGTCATATAGAGCGTAGCCGTCTGGTCTAGATCGTGGAGTCCAGTAGTCGTCGGTCAGCAGTTATGCGTGGAGGCGCCTAGCAACAACATGGTCAGCGAATTACCAACGTACCTGCGCACCTTGTACAGGCAAAGTGCTCTGGAAATAAGCGAATATTCATATCATGTACTGGCGAGACGATTGGAAAGTGATCCGAAATGTTATCGAGACAGAAAGTTTAGTTGTGACATGTTAATGCAAATTGTGTGACGAGACAAGGAAATTGTTAGGGATTTGACATCATGGTTGGAAATAATACGTGAGACGGCAAAGGAAGGTGTCAGGGATGATACGACGGGTAATTGGAAATATTACGTGATAAGAGATAAGCATGTTAGGAATGGGAAAAGTTAAATTATAAATTATCTAAAGGGACAGAAAGGAATTGCTGGGGATGGGAGCAGAAATTATTGGAAATATTATGTGAGAAGATAGTTATATTTTTAGGAATAGGGCTAAGTAAGATTATAGATAATGTGATAGTGTAAGAGACAGAAGGTAATTGTTGGGAACAAGGCAAGGAAAGAATTGAAATATTAGGTAATAAGAGAATGAATGCATTTTTAGGAACGGAACTAAGTAAGATAATAAATTATGTGATAAGGTACAGAAAGAAATTGTTGGGGATGGGACAGGGAGGG